GGAGTGCAAACTGGTTCAACCAGTGTGGAAAGCTGTCTGAAGGTTCCTCAGTCTACTAAAAATGGAGCTATCATACCATCCAGCAATTCCACTCCTAGGGATCTACCCAAAGGACACAAAAACAGTGATTCAAAAGAGCACCTGTACACCTATGTTTATTGCAGCACTATTTATAATAGGTAAAACCTGGAAATAACCCAAATGCCCCAAAATAGATGACTGGATCAAAAAGATATGGTATATATACACAGTGGAATATTATTCAGCAATCAAAAAAGATAAACTCATGCCATTTGCAGCAATGTGGATGGAGCTAGAAGGAATTATGCTCAGTGAAATAAGCCAGAAGGAAAAAGAAAAATATCGGATGGTTTCACTTATAACAGGAATATGGGGAACCAAATAGGATATCAGTGTAAAAAAATAATAATAACAGTACAAAACACTACAAAGCAAAAACAGACAATTATAAACCAGAGACATACTGGGAGGAGGAGGGAGAGGCATCAGAGGGATGGAGAGAGGGAGGAGCACAGGGGACTGTGGTGATGGTGCATGGGTGTCTTGGGAAAGGAAATTCTATGGGGACTCAATTTGAGGGGGTGGGAGGAAGCAAATATTGTTTTATAAAGTTTTTAAAATGGGGCCTCCCCTGGTGGTGCAGCGGTTGAGCGCTGAGCTGAGAAGCTGCCCGCAGCCTCTGCAGCACCGGCTCGATCCCTGGCCGCTACCGAGGGCCCCACATGGCACGCAGACCTCTCCTGCTGTGCCCACTGCTCCCCTCAGCAGTGTATTTCGTTGGTCTGCCTGTTCTGTTCCCCACTCTGGCTCTGGTGAATTTTCTCACCCTCCCGCGCTTCTGACTGTACCCAGTGCTTGAATAAATAAATAAATTTTTTAAAAATTTTTTAAATGATAAATGTTAAAATAAAAAAAACTAAAAATAAATAAAATTTATAAATAAATAAAATTGTTTTTCTCACTTTATAAATGTTTTGCCACACCCACAACTAACATTTAATATCTAGAACCACCAAGTATGTATGACTGGTTTTTAAAAATTATTGTTTTTTCTTTTTTTAACTACACAGGTCACAAACCATTTTGCAGTCATTTTGCATATTTAGCTTTCCTGATAGTTTTTCTATAAGATATGGTTGATATTGGCCCTACATAAATAAATCACCTATTGAAAAATCTTATTACCAAAAATAATTAAAAGGCAAATTAAAAAGGATAAAGAGTTAATTTCTTGTCTGTAAATTATTTAAATCATTTTAGCAAAATGTAAATATCAATGTTCAACAGTGTATGCTAACATCAGTATTATTTCTATTTATTGTGAGTTTGTAAATCTACACATTTAAGAGCTCTGTTTAAAAGACAGAATAGGTAAAGAAGGCAGTGGAGTAAAGACACTGGCCTCACCTCCTCCGCATACTCACAACTAGATTGCCACAAGACAAAACAAACACTCCAGAAAGAAAAAGAGATAACTACAGCATATGGTAGGAGTAACATCCAGAAAAAGAGAACACCAGTGGCAACAGAAAGAGTGAAAGGTAACCCACCAGGCAAGATAGGTGAGCCCTGGTGGCCCAGCAGGTCCTGTAAGCAACAGATTGGAACTGGCAAGGCCCGTACACAGTAAGCCATAGCAAACCTAGGCAAGCTCTGGTATAGGATCCAGAAACAGACCAATGCAGACATCTGCACAGCCTCAGTTAGCTTTTCCACTAAGACCAGGTTTATAACAAGAATGTCCACTCTCTTCCACATGATCCAGCAATTCCACTCCTAGGTATTTACGCAACGGACACAGAAACATTAATTCAAAAGGGCACCTGCACCCCAATGTTTATAGCAGCACTATTTGCAATAGGTAAGCTATGGAAATAACCCAAATAGATGACTGGATCAGGAAGATGTGGTGCATATACACAATGGAATATTATTCAGCAATCAAAAAAGATAACTCATGCAATATGCAGCAACATGGATGGAGCTGGAAGGGATCATGCTCAGTGAAATAAGCCAGAAAGAAAGAGAAAAATACCAGATGGTCTCACTCATAGCAGGAATTTAGAAAACCTAAATAAGGGACCAGGAAAAAGACTAATTATAATAAAGTAAAAATCAAAATCAACAAGTAACTATAAACCAGAGACACATTACATGGGGGGAGATGGGAGTAGGATCAAAACAAGGGTGGTGGGAATTGTATGTAGACTATAACCAAGATGAAAATGCATATATTGTGTAAAAATGAAAAATGATGTAAAAAATATATAAAATTAAAAAAATTTTTTAAAAAAAGAATGTCCACTCTCACCATTACTGTTCAATTTAGTCTTGGAAGTCTAAGCTAGAGCAATTAGGGAAGAGCAAGAGATGCAAGGAATCCAAACTGGTAAAGAAGAAGTAAAACTATCACTATTTTCATATGACATAATAATATATATACACAAAATCCTGAAGACTCCACTAAAATCATTAGAAATAATAAATAAGTATAGGAAAGTAGCTGGCTACAAAATCAACATACAAAAGTCTATTGTATTCCTAATTGCAAATTATGATCTAGAAGAGAAAGAAATCAAGAAAACAATTCCATTTATAATAGCATCAAAATGTATTAAATACCTAGGGATAAGCCTATAACAGAGACATCACAATAAAAAAGGGGAGGTACCATGTTCCCTGCCCCACCTAATAAGGGGCAGAACCAAGCAGTCAAGTGAAGCTATAGAAAATGGAAGGAGAGAACATGAAGAGAGATACAGAAGAGACACATGTAGAATAAGGGCTCACTTGCTTCTTTGCTTTGGACTTGTCCCAGGGACTTTGGGGCCATGGAAAAAGATATGTGGAAGAAAGACATTTGAGACACTTAAGAGAGACATATGGGTGACAGAAACACAGGGAGGCTGACAATGGCAGCCATTATCTTGATTTGTACTTTGATTTTGTCCCTTTTGTGCCAGACTAGCCTGGCCCCCTTTGCTCCTTTTCTGTTTTCCTGCCAGAAGGTTCCTTAAACTTGTGACAAGTTCATGGGCTTCAGTAGCCCTGCCTTAGGCCAATACCATTTGGCTGGCCATTTACCCACAATGGGATGAGTAACTTTGGGTGTTTTATTGGGAAACTATTATCCTTTCGTCTCTTCTCTCTCTATGCATTACTAACCCTATTAAAGATCTATAACACTAAGTATGGTTTGTCTTTGGATAGCCAGACCTCTGTAGAGTGTGCAAGTATGGGTGTTCTAGAGTATCCCTCAGTCACATGCTAACAAACCTAACAGAGGAGGTGAAAGATTCAATGAAACCTATAAGACATTGTTAAAATAAATAGCAGAAAACACAGGAAATGGAAACACAATACATTCTCATGGATTGAAAGGATTAATATTGTTAAAATGTCCATCTTGCCCAAAGAAATATATATATTAAATGTAATCCTTATCAAAGTTGCAATAGAATTCTTCAAAGAAATAAAGAAAACATACATCTGAGGAGGTATGAGCTTATTCACCTAAATCCTAAGCAATATTGTAAACCAATGTTCCCTCAAAAAAGAAAAAATAAAATTTAAAAATGAAAGAGAGGATAGATTTAAAACTTTATAAGGATAAATTTCTTTTTCCCTCTATCAAATTTGTGCCTTCAGTTATAAATCTTGTTTATGAATTTATGAAATGCTTGCAAGCTTTTTTCTTCAAATCATTTCCTTGACCTTTTCTTAAAACAGAGAATAAATATAACGAATGTTGTCAGATAACTTTTTTTAATAGGTTTTTTTTCTAATTTTATACAAGAACTTGGGTACAGGTCAGAAGTGTGGGAGGGTGAGAGAATTCACCAGAGCCAGAGCAGGGAACAGACAGGCATACGGACTGAAGACACTGCTGAGGGGAGCAGCGGGCGAGGCAGACAAGGTCTGCTGTGCCATGTGGGTTTCTCCCTGGCCGGCGGGGAATCAAACCGGAGCTGCAGAGGCTGAGGACAGCTTCGCAGCGCTGCACTCAACTGCTGCGCCACCAGGGAGGCCCAATTGTCAGATAACTCTAACTTAAGAAATTAATAGTTATGTTTTCATATCTATCAGTAGAAATAAAGATATACAGATTTAATAATTCCATTATTTGATATTTTAAAAATCTATCTTTTTTTGAGGAAGGCTACAGTTTTCATGTAATATAATAATCATTTTATAATTCAGGCAACAGTCATTAAATACAATGCCAGGTATTTTTATAAACATTTTATTATTTCTAAGTCTTTATGAAGCATTTAATTAAGTAACTCAATTTTTATTTTACTCTTCATTTCTCTACACTCATTTTACAGATAAGAAACCTTAGACATAGACCTTGAACAACCCATCTAAGGCCACAAAGGTAGAGTCAATTAAATTCCAGAAAACCTGACTCCAGAGTCCTACATGACAAGATATAGTTCTACTACTTCAAGTGGTAACTTAAACTTCATTTCATATAACCACAAGAAATCTAGTTCCCCATATCTCCCCTAATACACTCCAAGATTTCTACTTTTAGTCACATTTTACTCTGAATTCCACCTTCTCAATTCTCAATCCACTCTCACCATCTCACCTCCTACAATTGCTATCCTATTTTACCTTTATGTGTCCTGAGAAAGGATATAAACACTACTCATTCCTGAGAGCATTACCAGCCATTGTAACAAACCTATATTAATGTTTTGGGTCTAGTAAAGAACAGTTATCTGAGAAATAACTTGAATGTTAGATATTGCTATTCTTATAATACTTCGCTCACTGTCTACTGTTTCCTTTCCTGAGATCCTTTTATATTTCTGCCACGTTTGAGATCCATTCTCCTTCTCAAGGTCCTCATTTTATCTCCTCCTTCATCCCAAATGAGTCTTTTATTCATCTGGGTGCACACAATAAATGACAAAGTTTAAAATTCCTACCTTTATTTTTACACTGACCAAGAAGCTCTTTTCCATTCTTACCTTCTTCTCCAGAAACCATGAAAATTCATGTTATCCTATGGCTCTGAAAGACATTATGAATAGGATATAAGAAAAAATCCCAGTATTTAAGACAGATATGAAACTTAATCAACCATAAAAGGTAACACCAACCCTCTTCCTTAATAGTTTTATTCTCTTAAAAAAAAAAAAGGCAACATAAAATATGTTCCCTAGATAAATCATACTGTATAATCTCAGCATCACTCTGGGAGGATAGAGGAGTAAGAAGCATGAAGAATTTGTATCCCCATCTAGCCAAAATTTCACTGGCAGAATTTGTCAGATAGAACTATTTTTGGAATTCTGGAGTATGTAGAAGACTGGCAACTTCCAAGAGAAGGTTTGGACATTCATTTCAGTCCATTTAACAGTACTTAACACAATAGCAGCTACTCATTCCTCACACCCAGCCACATGGCAGGCAGCTGTACACTTATTCCTGGAGCAGCTTGCACAGGGTTTATGCGAATTAGGATGGATAAAAAGTACCTTGTTCAAATATTAAAGAGCTGTGCTCCGATGAATGATTGCTCCTTCTGATCACAGAGGTGAAGACAAAGAAGTGGGGAGCCATTGTTGTCCCTGTCTTACTGGTTCCAGGGACCTCCCGCATTGATTAAAATGATTTCCAGGAGATTTAAATGGGTGACCCCATTTTCCCCCTTTATCTTTTGTTTTTCCCCTTTTGTAAGCCAGGTATAGAAAACCAGTACATACAAAAACAATTAACTACATGGCACAAATTACAAAGATACTATGCATGCCCAAAGAATGTTCGGAAAATACATGATATTAAGTTTACACCTCAAACTCATCCCTGGCACAGAACCAGCCTATTATCAATCAATTAAATATTACAACATATATAAAGAGCCCCTGAGACTTCACACACACACACAAATTAGTCAAAACAAGCCACTTAGCAAAGAGGCAGGACATAAAATTAATACACAAAAATCAGTTACCTTCCTATATACAGATAATAAGATATAAGAGGAAGAAATTACACCCAAAACCATGCCAAAAAATTAAACCTAACAAAGGAGGTGAAAGATCTATACAAAGAAAACTATTAAATACTGTTAAAAGAAATAGAAGAAAACACAAGGAGATTGGAAAATATTCCCTGCTCACAGATTGGAAGCATTAATGTTATCAAAATGGTCATCCTACCCAAAGCAACATACAGATTTCATGCAATCCCAATAAAAATATCAATGGCATTTTTCAAATAACTAGAACAAACACTACTGAAATTGATATGAAATCACAAAAGACCCCCAAAAGCCAAAGCAATCCTGACAAAAAAGAAAGTGGAGGTATCTCATGTCCAGATGTCAAACTATATTATAAAGCCATAATAATTATAATAGCCTGGTACTAAAGCTAAAGACAGACACACAGACCAATGGAAGAGAATTTCCAACAAATAAACCCATACCTATATGGACAGTTAATGTATGACAAACTGGCTAAGAACACACACTGGAACAAGGGTAGCTTCTTCAGTAAATGGAGCTGGGAAAATCACATAGACACACGCAAAAGAATGAAGCCAGTTCAATCTCTTACACCAAACACAAAGATCAGCTTACAATGGGTAAAAAACTTGGATGTAGGACCTGAAACTACAGAACACATAAAAGAAAACATAGGCAAAATATTTCATAACATAAGCTTCAGAGATGTCTTTAGGGATCAATACCCCACAGCAAGGAAAAGGAAAAAAAAAAAACAAAACAACTACTAGGACTACATCAAACTAAAAAGCTTCTGCACAGTGAGAGAAACAATAACTAAAATGAAAAGACACCCTATTGAATGGGAGAAAACATTGCACATCATATATCTGATAAGGGACTAATATCAAAGATCTACCAAGAACTCACTCAACACAAAAAGAAAACAAATAACCCAATCCAAAAAAAAGGGGCAGAAAAACTAAACAGACACTTCTCTGAAGGAGATTTACAGACCACAAACAGGTACATGAAAAAATGTTCATCATCACCTATGGTTTTGCAAATCAAAACCATATATTGTCCATATGAATTGTCCATATTGAAAATATCAGAAATAACAAGTCCTGGTGAGGATGTGAGAAAAGGAACTCTCCTGCACTCACTGCTGGTGGGAATTAAGACCGGTCCAGCCCTCATGGAAAGAAGTATGGTGGTGTCTCAAAACATTAAAAATGGATCTGCCGGGCCTCCCCAGTGGCGCAGCGGTTGAACGCTGGGTTGCGAAGCTGCCTGCGGCCTCTGCGGCACCGGTTCGATCCCCGGCTGCTCCCTGGTCACTGGAGGAGGGTCCTACATGGCACGCAGACCTCTCCTGCCGCCCGCTGCTCCCCTCAGCAGTGTACTTTGGTCCTTCTGCCTGCTCTGCTCCCCACTCTGGCTCTGGTGAATTCTCTCACCCTCCCACGCTTCTGACTGTACCCAGTGCATGTATAAACAAACAAACAAATAAATAAATGAATAAAATACATGCCTCTTTAAAAAAAAAAATGATCTGCCATACTACACAGTAACTCCACTCTTAGACATCTACCAAAAAAATTCAAAAACATTAATTCAAAAGGAAACTTGCACTCCTATATTTATTGCAGCACTATTTATGATCCTTAAATATGCAAAAACAGAGGAGTGGATCGAGAAGATGTGGTATAAATGCAATGGAATATTACTCAGCTATAAAATGATAAACTCTTGCCAATTACAACAACATGGATGGAACTGGTAAGGATAGTGCTAAGTGAAATAGGTCAGAAGGAGAAAGAGAAATACCACATGGTGTCACTAATATGTGGGATATACCGAAACCAAAATAAGGGTCGGAAAAAGACAAGCTTAAAAAGTAACCCTTAAAATTGACTATAGAACTGAGGGAACCAGAGCGGAAGGGGTTGGGGAAAGGATGAGAGCAAAGAGGGAAGGAAACACAACGGACTATGATGGTGGACTATGGTGATTTGATGGTAAGTATAGTACAGTGACAATACCTGATGGGGGTTTCCTAATATAACCTCAATTAAAAATAAATAAGTTTTTAAAAAATAATTAAAATAAAATAATAAAGTCAAAATAAACAAACAATAACAAAGAACAGCAAACTCTGGGGAAAGAGGAAAATCTGATTTACAAAGTCACCAAATTTTTAGATTCGAATGTCCAGTGTTCAACAACAGCAACAACAAAAACATAAGGCAAAGAAACAGGAAAGTATATTCTATTCAAAGGAAAAAGTAATCCAGTGGGATCTGTCCATGAAAAAGACTTTGTTGGAGATACAGAAGACAAAAACTTTTAAACAATTGTCTTATATATGCTCAAAAAACAAAGGAAGAGATAGAAAAAGAGACAGAAAACCTAAAGTAATTCTAGAACTGCAATAACTAAAATGAAAAATTCACCAGAAGATTTCAAAAGCAGATTGAACAGACAGAAAAAAAAAATCAATGATCTTGAATATAGGACAATGAAAATTTTCAGTGCTGAGGAACATAAACAGAAAAGATTTATGAACCTTAAATACCCAAAAACAGAGCAAACAGAGCTGAGGAATATATGGGACCCATCAGGTGGACCAACATATGCATTGTGGAAATCCTAGAAGAGCAAAGAGTACAAAGAGAACATTTAAAGTAATAATGGCTGAAAACATCCCAAATCTGATGAAAGTTATAAACATCTAAGGAGTTGAACAAACCAAGTAAGATGAGCTCAAAAAGACCCTACACCAAGAAACAATCAAATTTTCAAGAGTCAAAGAATGAGTCTTCAAAACAGCAAGAGAAAAGTAAAGGGATGTTCGATAACATCTGCAGCTTTCCCATCAGAAACTTTGGAGGCCAGAAGATAGTGAGCTGATACATTCAAAATGTTAGGGAAAAAAACTATGAACAAAGAATTCTTTAAATGACAAAGCTATTCTTCAAAAGTGAGGAAGAAATCATGTTGCCCCAAGATATATGAAAGCCAAGAGATTCCATGAGCACTTAGACCTATGCTGCAAGAAATGCTCTGAGGAGTTCAGCAAGTTGAGATGAAAGGACACTACACAGTTCCTCTATGCCTAATGGATAAATAAAGATCTCAATAAAGGTAAGCACATGGACAATTTATAAAAGATAGTATTAATGTAACAATTATTTATAACTATACTTTCTGTTTTTACCTAATTTAGTAGGCTAATGTATTTAACTAAAAAAATTAAATAAAAGCTAAGAGTACTGTAACTTTGGTTTGTAACTCTAAATCTTGCTTCTACATAATTCAGGTGACTAATGCATTTAATGTTTATGTGTGGGGGCACACAGCACATTAAGATGTAATTTTGTGACATAAATAACCAAAATGTATGGGATGGAGCTGCAAAGGTGCAGTGTTTTTGTATGTTACTGAAGTTAAGCTGCTGTAAATTAAAATTAGAATGTTCTCGTTTTAGGATGCTAAATGTAATCACCATGGTAAATACAAAGAAAATAACCATAGAATATACACAAAAGGAAATTAAGAAGGAATTTAACATTTCCCTTAAAAAAAAAATAGACCACAATGAGATACTACCTTACACCAGTGAGAATAGCACATATTAAAAAAACTGGCAACAACAAATATTGGCAAGAATGTGGAGAAAAAGGAACTGTCCTACACTGCTGGTGGGAGTGCAAACTGGTCCAACCACTACGGAAAGCTGTGAGGAGGTTCCTCAAACTACTAAAAATGGAGTTTCCACATGATCCAGTAATTCCACTCCTAAGAATCTACCCAAAGGACACAAAACATTCATTCAAAAGGATACCTGCATCCCAATGTTTATTGTAGCACTATGTATAACAGGTAAGATATAGGAACAACCCAATGCCTAAAATTAGGTGACTGGATCAAGAAGATGTGATATATATGCACAATGGATATACATGCACAGTGATATATATGCACAATGCATATATATGCATTGCTGATTACTCAGCAATCAAAAAAGATAAACTCATGTTATTCACAGCAACATGGATGGAGCTGGAGGGATTATACTCAGTAAAATAAGCCAGAAAGAAAAAGAAAAATATATGGTTTCACTTATAGGAGGAATGTAGGGGAACCAAATAAAGGACCAGGAAAAAAATAATTATAATAAATTAAAAAACAATTAACATGGGGAGTGGGGGGTGGGGGGCAAGGAGGGGAGGGACTGGGATCAAAATAAGGGGGTTGCAATTGTATGGGGAATATAAAAATAAAATTTATTTAAAAAATAAAAAATAAATAAAAGTCATAAATGAGAAGAAAAAAAAACAATTAACAGGCGACGATAAATCAGAGATATTCTGCAGGGGAAGGGGAGGAAAGAGCACAAGGGACTATGGTGACGGTGCATGGATGAATTGGTGGTGGGAATTTTACGGGGACTACACGTAAGAGGAGAAAGCGTACAATGTACAAAAAGGAATAATTGTGTAAAACACATATAAAATAAAAATAAAATAAAAGACAGAAATGTAGGAAATGAGGGCTATAAAAGCTACAAGGCACATAGAAACAGTAGCATAATAAGAGAAGTAATCCCTCCTTATCAGTAATTGCTTTAATGTAAATGAATGAAACTCTCTAATCAAAAAACAGATTGGCAAAATGGATGAAAACACATGATCCAATTATATGCTATCTACAAGAGATATTTGTGCACCCATAATCATAGCAACAATTTTCAAAACAGCAAAGAAATGGACTGGTTGCAACCCAAGTGTCTTTCAACAGGTAAGTGAATAAGGAAAATATGATATATACATACATACATACTGTGTGTATATATCAGCCTTTATAAAGAAGCAAATTCTACAATAAGCTACAACATGAATGAACCTTGAAGACACTATGCCAAGATAAGGAGTTAGGTGGTTGGTTTTTTTTTTTTTTTTCTGAAGTTAATGAGAAAACACTGGCGATTTCTGAATCAAGAGTGGTGACTTCTACCTTGAGGGTGGCATAACAGCCTCAAACTAAAATGATGTTCACACACAGGTTAAAATAATAAACAGAGCCTCAAAGACCTGTAGGAAAATACCAGAAATACTAATATGTATAACTGGAATACAAGAGCTAACAAGAGGAAGAATGATACAGAGGAAACCAATGAAGAAATAATGGCCAAAATCTCTCATCTATTATGAAAGATAAAAATGTATAGTTTCAACAATTCAGCAAACTCCAAGCAATATAAATGTAAGCACATTAAAATTCTGAAAAATGGTCTTAAAAGCAACCAGAAAAAAAAATGACAAAATACTTGCAAGGGGCATAAGGACTCAGATAGACACTGCCACCTCATCAGAAATTATGGTGATCAGAAGACAGCAGAGAACACAAGAAAGTTCTAATAGGAAAATATGTCAACCCAAAATTCTATACCTAGTAAAAATATTCTTCAAGAATGAAGACAAAATAAAAACATTTTCAAATAAAAGGAAACTAAGGGAGTTTGTTAATACATCTTGACCACTAGAAATGATAAAGGAATATTTTCAGACTGAAGGAAAAGTATAACAAAGAGAAATTCAGATATAGGTATACCATGGATATATTGCATGTTCAATTCTAGACCACCTTTTTTGGTTCCCCAAGCATATAAAAGCTATGGTTATAGTCAACTACGTATACGATGGCATCATGTCTAAAACACAAACAAACAAACAAACCAATTTACTTACCTTAATCAAAATGTGACTCACAGATATGAAATGAGCACATCTGGAAAAATGATTTCAATAAACTTCCTTGATGCAGAGTTGCCACAAACCTTCAATTTATCAAAAAAAAATGCAATATATAAGAAGTGCAATAAATCAAAGCATAATAAAGTGAAGTATGCTTACATTTGGGAAGGAATTAAAAGCATTAAAAATAGCAAATATCTAAATAAATATAAAGAGTACTCTTTTCTCTTAATTTCTATAAAAGATAAATGACAGCTATAATAATAATAATAATAGGGTAAAAGGATCCTATGCTTTCAAAATTCTTATGCTTTAGGAGAAGTTGTACAATATTAACTCTACCTAGACTGTAGAGGATATTTGTTACAATCCTGGAGAAAATAATTTAAGAGAAAAATAATTTCTAAATGACTAAAAGAGGCATAGCTAAAAATTCAATCAAAACTAGGGAAAAATTGTAGCCTATAAGAAATATGCCTTTTCTCATGGAAGAATATTTATACTGACGGAATATTAGGTGGAAAATAAAAAAATAACAATGAGAAGCAACAGAAGGAAGAATGATTTTTTCCTTCCTCCTCCAAAATAGTCAAATTCTACTTTATTCAAACTGAAATGGTATATTTTCCCAACTTCAGTCAAATGTATAAACACACATTTACAGGTATAACTAAATAGACTTTTAAAATGCTGGACTTCAGAATATTTACTGCATAAATATTTACTCCATATTGTCTACTGTGGATACACAGGAGTTCAACAACATTTATACGGGTGCACTTTGTTTGCAAACCTTCTTGTAAGTATAGACAATGCCTGTGTTCTCTACAAAGAAAAGGGAAAATATTCAAGTCTAGGGTGCAGTGAGGTTAATCATCGTTGGTCATTTTAACAGCAGTTTACTTCTTGTTTTCAAAAAATTTACAAATATCATCTATATAATTGGGTTAAACTTCCTGTTCCTAAAGGTAATTGATTGTCGAACTAACTTTTCTAATTTTTTTCACTTTTCCAAAGCCATGCCCATCTACAGACCCCTAAATCTTAGTATTTGAAGCGACAGTATTCTGTCTGTGATCAAGGCTTTAGTGCCACTCAGTGTTCAAATGATAGAACTGCAGCAAATCAAACCACCAAATCCGTTGGAACGACCTTCAAATATTTCCTCTGGATTTAAAGACATCAACTGAAAGCATCTAATCCCTATCCGCTTTAGTCTACTTTATATGTATGAATAGGATGAAAAACCATGAATACAAGAGATACCTCTTGGAACTTTGATCAGGAGGAAGTGGAGAATAAATGACAGAGAACTTTCCCTTATTTTTCTTTCTGTGCTTGAATCATTTAGTACTGTGCCATGTCTCCAAATCTAAATGGACTTACTGAAAGAGGGGTGGTGGGCGGGAGAGAGAGAATGAATGAGCATTCAGTGGGGGCAGGTATGGCAGGGGAGAGTGCAACAGTCCAGGAACAGGATCTAATTAAAAAGTCCTACATGAGCAGAAAGAAAAACACTTACAGACATCTATGAACAAATGCTGAAATTATACCACCAATTATTGAAACCTAGGTTGTAATGTCTTAATCCTGTTAAATAATATAACAGAAAATAAGCAAGTAAGCATCTTCCAGTTCTCATAAGTTCCATGTCAAATTTGTAAATATTTCACTGTGTGGTCCAAAGAATGAATACGGAGAGATTATGTTGCAAAATACTGAATATAAAACAAGAGACATTTTTTAAGTAGAAAACACATTAGAAAAAATGAGTATGAAGGTAAATATGAATATGCAAAGACTAGAGAAAAGGAAAAAAACAAAAATTTGGCTAGCAAAGAAAATTCATGTGGAAATTATAAATAAAAGAATAGCATTTAAGTTCACCTTGCAATGACTTTACTGATACTACCCACTTTCAGACCAAAATTTCCCTTTTACAAATCTATGACTGTGCTTTTAAGAAGTCTTATGTGCAACAAGAAGTTAATTTCAGTGAAATTTCACGGCAACCTTATTATTCTTAAAAATTATTAAAATGTCTACTGTGGGAAACTGACTGACAGTCCCACTAATCAAAGATAATCACTGTTAACATTTTAGGGTAAACTTTCCCAGCCTTTTGTCAATGCCAATATTTACATGCTATTAATAGAAACCTAGTGATTCAGTGACTTGAATTTTTTCTTAGTACACAGTCTATGTATTAAAATCTCATTAAATAGTCCTTTAAAATGTATTTTAAATAAATACTGATATACCATTTTACAGATGTACACTAGCTGTTTTCTACCAATCCCCTATTGGTGGACATTATGGCTCACTCCAGCTTTCAATTACAAACAATACTGAGTGACATCCTTGTAAATTAAATCTCATGTATACACAATTTTCTCAGGATAAAGACTGAAAAATTGAATTGCAATGTTAAAACCATATAGAATTTTAAGGGATTTTGTCGAATATTTTCCCAATGAGAGAATTTAAAGATTAACTGGCTATTCTATATCTTGCCAAAAGTGAATGGGGTAATTTTTCAAATTTTTTAAATTTCCATTTAGTACATAAAAATATTTTCTCATTATTTTCATGTGCAATTATTTGGGTTTTTTTTTAAAAGTAAGTAAACTTCATATACTTACTAGACATTGTTACTGGCTATAGGAAGTATTTCTTTGTAAATAGCCTGTTTATGATTCTGGCCATTTATTGGCAGGGAGAATAGTGTAGTTAAGAGCACAGACCTCAGGGTTAGACCACATGGGTTTGAAACCTTAATCCATCTACACACTGTAATGGACCTCTCTAAGCCTTAATCTTCCCATTTATAAAATAAAAACAATAACAGTACCTGGCACTCCAGGTGAAATTATAGCCTGGCATGTACTATGTGTTCTTTTATATTTAAGAGCTCTTTATAAGAAGGATTTTCACCCTTTGTTCACCATATGTGTTGCACCCATTGTTCCCAGTTGTCGCTTGATTTTCAATCTTGTTTATAATGGAATTTGGCGGACAGAAGCTTTAAAATTTTTGTAGTAAGATTTATCACTCTTTTCTTCAGGATATTTGCCTTTCGTATGATGCTTAGAAAGGCAACAGATTTAGAGGAGTAAAGATAGTACAACTTTTTCAGGAAAGCAAAATATATCTGGCATGTGTATTGTGAATCAGATCAAAATCTAGTTTCCCTCTTGTCATACACCTCTACTAAGCATACACCATTTTTAAATAATTTCAACCTCAAAAAGAAATGCACAAAAATCACAGTGTCATTAAAAAAAAAATCACAATGTCATTACCACAGAAGTTCCAGGGATCATGGCCTATCAAGGTCCCTACTTTGTCTGAATCCTTGGCTTCAACAAAAGGTACAAAAATATAGACATACCACAGTAAATTAAGTTCTTCAATTTCTGAGAGAGTTGTGAAAATTTTGTGATGAAATTAATTTTTCCACAAGTCAAAGAGCTTCCCAGAGCCACTCATATCTGAGGGACTCTGACTAGTGCGTAAGAGTCTTCACTCTGTTCTCAGCAAATGTAATTCAAAGGTTTGCAATGTTTACGTGAAATTAGTCCCAAGTAATGCAGCAAGGTGGGGCTCATTTGAACTAAGAAGACATTTTCCATCCAGCAGAGGACAGTACACACAAGCTGAAATGCCAGACTATGAAATGGTTCTTCTGCATGGCTAACACGAGAATATCATTTGTCATGATCCCACTACATAGTCTTTGGTTAATTAGTATCTCTAAATTAAAATTCTAATCCATAAAATACTTAAAATTTTATAACAATTTTTAAAATTTAGTTTAATACTAATTCAATTTTTTAACAATTTCTTTGTTCAGGTCACTTTGATTCAGAAACTAATTCAGTTTAACACCTAAAATATTTTAATATCTAAGCAATTTCAATAACAAGTGAAAGTACATTTCATTATTATATTTTCATTCATAATTCATAGAGAAGTTCAAACTAAAAATTTACCACTAGCCACATGAAGAGCATGTACTCAATCATTACAAGAAACTGAATTCAAGTGAGTTACTGCAGGAACATTAGCAGCAGCAATATATCACAGTATAATTAAGAAAAATAACAGCAAAAAGGGCTGCTCAAAAATCTCATTATTCCTATTATGAAAATATTTGTGGCAAACTTTTTCTCTTTCCTAACTATAAACTTGTGTTTAAAAAATCAAATTCGCAGAAAAGGCTATTGTTATTCCTAAGGTCACAAATAAATAATTGCTTATCAGTGATAAATTTTTTGTAGTCTGCTACTCTATCCACCACAGTATGTAATTTCTGCCATAAACATCTTAAAATATGTAAGAAGTCATAAGAATTGCTAATACTACTTTTCAGCACTGTCATATTTTGTCCGCTGAGCCAAACATACCAGATGTCTTTAAATAAAAGATTTAGACAGCATAAAAATAAAGTGTTATTGTATATGAGATTTTTAAAAATATACCAATACATTAAGGATACCATAAGGATTGAATGTATGCTATTATAGATGAGGGCAAATATGTGTAGATACTAATAGTATACACCTGAAGACAAGGAGAGATAATGACTACAAATGTGGATGATTAAGGAGAAAACAATGAAAAAATTAATGTAACACTCAGCATGATAAAGAGTATTTCATCTATTTAAATGTAATGAGCTAAAATCATACATTCCCATTGGGGGAATATATGGACTTTTCAATTTCTAAAATGAAAATAGTCCCATCAGTTTATAATTTGACTAAATAAGTGGGCTGAAGTGACAAGTGAGGCAGTGAAGGGACTGTGAGGTGACTATTAACTGGGGGCTACTGCATTTAAACATAGACACTCACACTCACAACTAGTGAAAATGGAACTGTCTGTGAGAACAGATTTGAACAATAGCTTCATCCTGAGCTGCATTTGTGCATCTGTTACATTTACACATTTCTATCTAGTAACTCTAGATGTTTAAGAGAATATTTCTCTCCCTCATTTCTGGTCACACAAGATCATACAGGGAAAGGTAAAGAAATAGAGAGAGATTAGGGCAGGATGGCAAGTCTCACATCTGCATATA